TTGAATGAACCAAATGACACGAAAAAAGATTTGTTCATTTTGATAAACGATTTCGAACAGGAGAGTCACGAACGCGCATCACAGAACAGAGCAAGGCGACCATTTGAGCTTATAAAACTTAAACTTTGTTATTTATTTATTAAATGAGCGATCATTTCGCTAGATACGATCCTAATTCATTGTCTGAAATCATTTAAAGCCCTTTGAACAGTTTGCAGTTTGCACTGAAACTGTCTTCTGGACCTTGAACCGTTTGGTTCCCATTGAAGTCCATTATATGGAGAAAAATCCTGGAATGTTTTCATCAAAAACCTTAATTTCTTTTCGACTGAAGAAAGAATGACGTGGACATCTTGGATGACATGGGGGTGAGTAAATTATAGGCAAACGTTTTTTTTTAAAGTGAACTACTCCTTTAAGAACTTTTTGTGGAAAGGTCCTTCATCGAACCATCAGATGACCACCAGTCTCTGGCAGATGAAAATCAAATCCAATTCATGAATAATTTACTTTTCTAGCATACAGTACAGGATGATTTACAAAATGAAAACTTTGTTGAAATCACTAACCCAATTATAATGGTGACGCTTGCCTTAGTAAATGATAGAGTTCACCCTGTATGCCAGGAAGCCACTTCATTCACTTGACAGAGTTCAAGTTTATGCCAGGAAACGGATTGAATTTCTGCACTGGAGATCAAACTTATGTTAGAAGGCCTGTGATTTATGTCACTCTGAGTGAAACTCTGGCTTCAAAAATCAGGAGTCCTATTTCATGGTGTTTTTTTTCTTTTCATTTTTCCAGAGGAGTGTGTTTTTGGTTCCTGATTTAATAGGAAGTTTCGTCAGTTCTTATCTGGGTTGCTTCATTGATTCATTTTTCCTGTTTCCAGTGATGCAATCTACCATTTCAAACAACTTTGTATTTAAAATCAATTTAATAAAGCAGTAAATGTGCAAATCTGTTGTATAATGCACATTATAAAGGCCACCGTGGAAGAGCAGTGGAAAGTTCTGGTGCGTTGAAACATTCTGTTGCAGTAAAATTGCTGGCAGCAATACAAAGTTAGTCTGGCGTTGGGCTGAACCACAAAACTGTACTTGGTCTCCACCTTCGTTTAAAAATTAACTCTTTGTTCACAATAGCTGCAAGCAACACTGAGATCAGACACAAAATCAAAACTCCATGCTTTTTTTTTTGCATACTCTAACTTCTCTAAATTGTTTGTGGCGCTGCTGCTCTGTTCATTACTGAGTTGTTAGTTTGTGTGAACATGTAAATATGACCCCTCCAGCACCTCCAGTGCCCTTTTCCACCCTTGTAACTATTTTGAATTACACTGATTTACCATAAAGTTCAAAGCACATAATTAAACTGTCTGATAAATGCAGCTGTGTCAAGATTATGCATGTCTCAACTGAGATGATCAAACTTCCCCATGGCACGTGGGTTATTTTCAATAAGAAAGTGAGCAGTGAAAAAATGTGAGAGCAGAATTAGAGCAGGGTGTTATGACAAAAATTGCTTAAAAGGGGAACCAACAAACAGTCAAGCAGATAGAAAAATAGAGTTTATAATTATCAAGGTATTTTTTAATACTGTTGAAAAAATTAATTAAATAATGAATATTTTTTAGGGCTGTCAAACGATTAACCATGATTAATTGCATCCAAAATAAAGTTTGTGTTTTACATAATATATGTGGGTGCACTGTGTGTATAATTATTTTATATATATACACACACACATGCTTGTATATATTTCAGAAATATTTTAATGTATGTACTGTATATAGATTTATATATAATTTATATTATATATAAATATAAATATTTTATATATAAATAATATGCATGTGTATTTATATAAATACAAAATAATAATACATAGTCCACCCACATATACTATATAAACACAAACTTTTATTTTGGATGCGATTAATCGTTTGACAGCCCTGATAATTTTTCAATACACCAGAATATTTAAATATTTATCAAAAAAAAAAATTAATAAAATGCCACGTGGAGACTTGGCATAAATTAATCGTTCGAAGGGTTAGGAAACAATCATGATATGTATTTAAAACTGCTATAGCACTTAAAAAAAAAAAACCTTGGACAGATTTTAACCCTGGGTTAAGTCTAACCCTGAATTGCGGTGCAAATATACATAGTGAACTATGTCTAAAAAAGAGGTTTAAAAACAGGATCAAGTCGGTGTGAAACATGGAACAAGCATGATTGCATTAAAATGATCATGGTGACGTTCTTCCTATTCCTTTTCTAGAGCAAATAAACACTATAAATCAAGATATGTGTACTTGAGAAGTAAAATTAGGTTGTTTTCTACATAAATTGTATCAAAATGAAGTGAGTTTTTGCTTAAAGCAAGAAAAAACAACTTCCAGTGGGGTCAGCAAAATAATCTTGTTTGCAGCGTGAATATTACATAAACTTTTAATATATCGTAAATCCTTTGCTACCACAGTCAACGGTACTCACATTGTGTGCCATTTTCTCCAAATGTAAGGCATTTCACATTGTGTGCATGTGTGGTGATCGCGTGACACTTTTCGGCCGTGTCTCGATGTGATTAAAAGTGAAGTTTGTTATGTTCAGCATTCTCAGACAGAGGGCTGTAGGCAGGTACGGGGTGTGTAATTGGGATTCAAATCAAAATTATTTGTGGTGGTAACCAGGCTTCTGTCTCACACGCATAAACACACAAGGGTGAAATCAAGATTAACCTGCCAATCACAGCAGAGGAAACAATCTCAAACATCAACCAACTGAACCATCAAACATATATCACAATTTTGACCACAAGACAATTAAAAGAGGCAATCAATGCATTTAAAGCATTTATATGTATGTATATATTCAAACACAAAGAGATAAATATATATAGCCTATGAAGTATATGGTAAAACACCCCTCCCTTAAGGTTTTTAGCAAATCATACAGACAATAAGTCTGTTAAGTTTGTTGTCCTGCTTTCAGCTTGGCAACGTAATGCTAAAGCTGCTAAATTTTTAGCAAAAAAATATGCACAAGTTTACCTGAAATCGATGTGAAGTAGAAACACTGTTTACATTGAACAAACTCCACCCACAGGAATTACATCAGTATCATGTGACCAAAAGCTCATCCACTGAGAAAGTAGTGCCCATAGATATCTAGCCTATATAAAGGCTAGATGTCTCACAGCGGAGTATTTATCATCATCACCGGCGGCCATCTTGTCACAGACAGGCTTTCTGGCGGGCTCTGTGGTATCTGATGTAAGAAATACTCTTATCTCGTTGAAATCTTGACAGATTTACAAAGGGTTTGGCTTCTTACAAACATTATTAACGTGGCTATAATTCTGGATGATTATTTATTTATACACTTATTATTCATAAGTATGCAGTATCATAACTACATCTCTACCGTTTATAACAAACCAGACCGTTTGAAAATCGGTAGAAAATTCAGCAAGTTACGGTGATTTAAAAAGTACATGCACCATTAAAACAATGTTACCAGTGAGCGAGCTGCCTGTGACAAGATGGCCGCCAGGTGCTGACGTCGACCTCCATTGGCCAGCAGTGCGGACGACACATCTAGCCTTCATATACATATCTATGGTAGTGCCACCTCACAAGGATTTATATAAAAGCCCCAAAGGCCATGTATTATGATTTTTTCTTAAAGGGGTGGTTGATTATGATTTCACTTTTCTAACTTTAGTTAGTGTGTAATGTTGCTGTTCGAGCATAAACAACATCTGCAAAGTTACAATGCTCAAAGTTCAAAGCAAAGGGATATCATTGTATATAAGGCTACAAATGGCTGGTAGGGACTACACAACATTCCTCCCGGGTTAGAGACATCACTAATCATAAAATTTACATTAAACCCAAGCCCCGGGGGTGCGATTTATAGATTATCATGACAGAATATGCTAATCAATGACTAGAAGATAACTACACACAAGCTATAGGTTACATAAATTCATCAACTAACCATTCAGAAATGTCCTGTTGCTTCTAAATGTTGTCACTTCTTCTTCTTCTTCTTCTTCAGTCTCTCCATCATTGTCTGACTCCAGTTTGAACAAAAAAGGCTAAAATTGTTTGAAATTTTCAGTGTATGACTGTGTGAGGTAAAAGGACACAAGCTTATGTAGCTCCGCCCCCTGTGCTGGGAGCAGCAGCTCATTTGCATTTAAAGGTACAGACACATTTGCTCACCCTCAAAAAGTGCCAATTTTAACACAATATATAAAAATATCTGTGGGGTATTTTGAGCCAATACTTTATATACACACTATGGGGACATCAAATACTTGTTTTACATCTTGTGAAAAGGGCACAATTTTGCCATAATCTCAACGTCATCTCAATTTAATGTTTTCACATGAAAAACAAACTATGTTGTTAATCACTCTGTTCATATGATCTTGAGGGTCATCCAAATGGCAATCAACATTCTGACACAAACATATTATTGAAAATTCTTTTAAGATACTTTTATTCAACCAAGCAGTCATAAAAATTCCTGTTACCTTTTTTGTTGAGAAATACTTCACAGAGACACATCATTTGAATTAAAAAAAGATGTCACTAAACAAAACAAAACGTTTTTCCCCCCAAAAATTATTTGAAGAATAGAAAGTCCAAAAGAACAGCATTGTATTTGATATTGTAACATTATAAATATCTTTATTGTCACTTTTGATCAATTTAATGCATCCTTATTGAATAAAAAACGTATTCTCCACTTTTTTGGAAATAGTTGAGTTTGGCTCCTCTAAACAGTTGAGTTTTACCGTTTTCGAATCCATTCAGCCGATTTTCTGATATTTAGAAGAATATCAGTAACCAGACAGTTTCTGGTCTCATTGACGTCCATAGTAGGAAAAATATATACTATGGAAGTCAATGAGACCAGAAACTGTGTGTATACTGATATTCTTCTAAATATCAGAAAATCAGCTGAATGGATTCGAAAACGGTAAAACCCAACTGTTTAACTCTAGGGGAGTGGTAAAATGAGCCTCTTTCCAAAAAAAGTGGAGTATCCCTTTAAACTTTCGAATGGTAGTGTATTTGGCAAGTTGTTTTTGCGATTCCGGTCTTTCTTTAGATAGGAGCTGTATTTGTGTAACTGAAAATAGCTGAATAGTGCATATTTTCATACAGAACTCACTCAGATCTCTCAAAGTAGGTTAACCTTTCCCACTACTTGTTTGCATCCAGTTTTTGCGTACTGTCTTCCAGCCGCTCTGTGATAGGCCAGTTCATCCGCCAGCCTATCTACATGACTGAGTTCGGGGTAAAACCCTTCCAGGGTCATTTCCTCTAGAAAGCATTGTATGATGTGTTCCCGCTCCAGCAGGGAAAGAGGTATAAACTCGACTACTGGCTCCATCCATAGCGGATGGACGAGAGACAAGGCCTGTCGGAGCGGTTTATGGGCTCCGGCGGTGGAGGCGTTTTGAAGAATGTGAGCTGAGATCTCTCTTTGCCCCAGACTGCTGAGTAAAATGTAAATCACGTTGAGAAACTCATTGGTCTGATCTGACTGAAGAAACGTCTGCAAGATGTCCAGCACCAGAGGTGGCATTAGTTCTACCTCATCCAGAATGAAGAAGGGAATCTGCTCCTCTTCCTCGGCTCGAGTCACTACCTCAGTTATACGGCGAGCCAGTGTGGAGGCGCAGTGCTGCGCTGCTTCCGGTAGGGGGCAGTGGTGTTTGGATAAATAATGCACCACTAGCTTGTCTTCCACCACGGAGCGGAAGTGCCGCACCAATAGGCGACCCAGGTGGCTCTTCCCGACGCCAGACGCCCCGTGCAAAGACAGGACGAGGGGCTGCTGGTGGGCATAAGTGGACAGGTAATCGTTCAGATGGTCCATTAGCTCCTCTAGCGCCTCCGACTGGCCAAACACCTCCCTGTGCAACGTCCTCTCCAAACCCTCAAGATCGTACTTCACAACATGGTCGTCCAGATTCTCAATGGCATTGTAGACCTGGAAGAACAGGAACTAATTAAAAAAAATAATTGGAAGGCACCTTGAAAGGGATACTCCTACGCTATCTCACGACCAATTCGTACGAGTGATTCAAAAGTGGCTAATTCGTACTAATTCATACGAACTCACTCGTACGAATTTGTACGATTTGTCTAAACCCACGTGACGGTTATGTTTAGGGGCGGGGTTAATTCGTACAATATGTACGATTTAGCAAAATCGTACTAATTCGTACGAGTGAGGTCGTACGAATTGTTACGAATTAGCCACCTCGTAAAATTCGTACGAATTCCCGTGAGATCGGGTTGGATACTCCACCGTTTTTTCATATTAAACTATGTTATTCCCTTAACTAAGACGAATTGATACATACCTCTCTCGTCTCAGTGTGTGCACTCAATCGCTCTGGCGCGCAAGATACTTTGATAGCACTTACCCAGCAAACACAGAACGTTCCCGAATGGTCCAATGAGGTTATTTTTTTGAGAACCAAACAAGAACATTAAAGGAACGTTCCATGTAGGTTATTTTTAGGTTCCATTTTTATGGTCCATTTATAACGTAAGGAGAATGTTACGGGAACATTCCCTTAACTTTAAGGGAAAGTTCTAGGAACGTTCTGGGAACTAAAAACTAACGTTCCCAGAACCTTTGTTTGCTGGGTAACGAGTCCAGTTCATTCAATATGGCACAAAACAAAACATTGACACAAAATAAAACGTTGCGCTTTCCTAAGCGTGTAAAATGGATAACTATCTTGTATGGCGGAATACCACAAGTGCTTGGGAGCACTTCGACTCGGCTTTTCACGAGAGGACTTTTCACGAGTGGTGATATTACTGCGCAGAGTCGAAGTGCTCCCAAGCACTTGCTGTGGTATTCCGCCATACAAAAGTTATCCATTTTACACGTTTAGAAAAGCGCAACGTTTTATTTTGTGTCACCGTCCTAGGTCGAGTTACACGGCTTGTGTAACTGTATTTAAATAGGGAAAACGTGGAGGTGTTTGGTCGCTTCTTGGCCCATATTGAATGAACTGGGCTAGTTAAGTGCTATCAAAGTGTCTCGCGCCCCAGAGCGATTGAGTGCACGCAGACGAGAGATTTATGTATCAACTCGTCTTAGTTAAAGAGGCTACATGCGTTTACTGAAATTTCAACTCGTGACTGACACCTGTGGCCAAAAAACAGAACTGTCTAGTCACTAACTGTCACTAGTCATCTGCTGCAAGGAGGTCAACATTATGTTTACAGAGGTAAGAACATTGTTTGAGATAAAGTGTTCTGCTTGCGAGTGTAGACTACTTGCTGACTAGCGGTGGTGGCAGAGTGATCTGAAACGTTTAACATGACGTCACATCCGTAGACCGCGCGGGAAAAGTCCGACCCGACAGAAAATAGGAAAAATAGGATACAGGCTTATAGGTGCACCCACTGTGAGCGGACAAGGTGTCAGTATGCTCATCAGGAGATGTTTTAGTCATAAATGGTAAAATAAAAAGGGTATTGTTACGTTTATTTTAGGGAAAACGCTGCATATAGCCTCTTTAAGGGAATAACATAGTTTAATAAGAAAAAAACAGTGGAGTATCCCTTCAATAAAGCTTTGGTTATACTTTATTTTGATGATCCACTTTAGCAATTCTACTAACTATAATAACTTTGCAACTATGGTGTAAAACCTGTGCCAAATCCAATGAGTGTGTGTTTTTCAATTTAGTGTTTTTTTTTTTCAATTCTGGCACAAAAGAAATAGCACCCAAGGAGAAGAACAGGAAGAATTACCTGGACGAAGACGATCACGCTAAAGAGGATTAGGAAAGGTTTCGCTCGACTGCGCTCTATCTTTGGCTTGAACATCAGAGTGTCATTGGGGAACATCACGCGGGACTTCCTTCGCTTGGACTTTCTGGTTTGGGGGCTCTTAGGATGCAAACTCCCATCAGAGACAGCGGAGTTGGTGCAATGAGCCAACCTGACTGAATTAGATCTCTTTAGGTACTTTTTCTTGATTCGCATCATGGCTTTCAGCTGTGGGGAGAACATAGACACACTTTGCCCTCCTTCCTTCTCCTCATCTCCTTTAGCCTTTTCCACTTGAACATCCATGGAAACCCCTTTACAGTCCACCACCAGTCTGGAATACTGAGAGAAACAAACATAAGACCATGTTATAGTTAAATATTTGTATTAATTCACTTGGTAAATCTTACAGTGCCTACTTTGTTAAACCTGGAACAACATTCTTAATCAACCAATCAGATTTGAGGGACACGTTTACAGTTTATGCCAAGTTTAGGCTTACAAGCAGGGTTAGGTGTTGAGTTTTAGGGATCATTGATAGGTAAGGTAACGGGTTAGGTTAAGGGGAAGGGATAGGACTACATTTTCAGACAGGAATGTTGTTTCAGGATCAACAAAACATGACTTACTTGGCAAAATCACGGTGACCGTGTTTCTAATAGCCAGTAGCTCAGTTCTGCTACAGGTCGAGGAAGTTAGCGTGACTAGTTTTGTCTTACATTTTGCTGTATCTTGGCAAACGCATGATAATTAGAGGTAATTAAGATTGAGAGGCTAAATAAGAGACTGGATTTGGCAGCAATAGAGATGTGTGTGTGTGTATACTGTAAATTGTTAAGCATGAACCTTAGGCAAGTACAGTATTAGACAAGACAAATCGATTTTAAAGAGAATTCGACCCCAAATCAACCTACAGTAACTACTTTTTAGTAGTTTAAATAATGGATTTCACATTTAGAGACATTTAGGTCATTCACTCTCAGAAAAAAGGTATGAAAGCTGTCACTGGGGCTGTACCTTTTCAAAAGGTCCATTTTAGGTACTAATTTGTACGTTTTATGTGCTAATATATACATTTTATGTGCTAATATGTACATTTTTGGTGCTAATATGTACATTTCAGGTGCTAATATGCACATTTCAGGTACTAATATGTACATTTTAAGTGTTGATATGTACACATTAGGTGTTAATATTTACATTTTATGTGCTAATATATACATGTTATGTGCTAATTTGTAAATTTTTGGTGCTAATATGTACATTTCAGGTACTAATATGTACATTTTAAGTGTTGATATTTACATTTTAGGTGCTAATATGTACATTTTAAGTGTTGATATGTACACATTAGGTGTTAATATTTACATTTTATGTGCTAATATATACATGTTATGTGCTAATTTGTAAATTTTTGGTGCTAATATGTACATTTCAGGTACTAATATGTACATTTTAAGTGTTGATATTTACATTTTAGGTGCTAATATGTACCATTAAGGTACCAATATGCACCCTTAAGGTACAAAAATGTACCTTTTGAAAAGGTACAGCCCCAGTGACAGCTTTTGTACCTTTTTTTCTGAGAGTACTGAGAAAGCTCTGATATTAAATTATGCTCACTTTAAAAGCACATTTCTGAAACAGGCTGTAAGTAAGGGATAATCCACTACCACTAGCTGTGCATTAAATGTTTTAAATGTACCAACATGACATCATGACTTTTGCGTAAACATACACGTCACTTTCAAGTCAAGTGGCGTGTTATCTGTACGCATTTTGAACTATCCGCGTGTATGCGTGTACGTCTACGCCGTTAAATGTCCGAGTGAAACGAAGCAAAATGTAGATCTACATCTGGGGAGCGATATTTTTTTTCCTAGATTTGGCGCAGTGCCAGCTAGTGGTCAGGAGATATGCAAAACTTCTGAACGGTTTAACCAAAAATCAAGAATCTGGTCTCTTAAGATTTGATTCCCAATTTTGCTATATCGGCCATTTTAGACAACGGCCATTTTGAATTTTGTTGTCAAATGCTATATTTTATAAACGCATTGGTGGATTGTTACATGCCTTGAAGGTACAAGGCCTAAAAGGGTTAGTTCACCCAAAAATTAAAATTCTGCCAGTATTTACTCACCCTCATGTTGTTCCAACCCCGTAAGACCTTCGTTCATCTTCAGAACACAAATTAAGATATTTAAGATATTAAGATCGCTCCTGCATACAGTCCATAGGCTTCTTGAGGTACTGGCTCTTGCTGGCATCGAAAAGTCATTAAAGACATCGTTAAAATAGTCCAAGTGACTACAGGGGCTCAATTTTAACTTTATCAAACGACGAGAACACTTTTTGTGGGCAAAAACAAACAAAAATAACGACTATTTTTTCAACTATTCACTTCCTTCTCCATGGGCCTGTAGTCAGTTAACGTAGTGTGATTGCGTAAAACTACGTCACACGTAGGCTCACTATTGGCCGACGCTGGTCACGTGTGTGATGCGTGTGACGTACAATAACTGAAGCTTACGCTATTAAACTAGTAACCTGACTCGCGCAGAGGGAGAAATAAACGAATAGTTGAAATAAAGTCGTTATTTTTGTTGTTTTTTTGCACACAAAAGTGTTCTCGTCGTTTGATAAAGTTAAGATTGAGCCCCTGTAGTCACTTGGACTATTTTAACGATGCCTTTAATGACTTTTCGATGCCAGCAAGAGCCAGTCCCTCAAGAAGCCTATGGACTGTATGCAGGAGCGATCTTAATATCTTAAATATCTTCATTTGTGTTCCGAAGATTAATGAAGGTCTTACGGGGTTTGAACAACATGAGGGTTAGTAAATACTGACAGAATTTTCATTTTTTGGTGAACTAACCCTTTAAAAAGTACTGATGTACTGAAGAATTGTAATGAAATTTAAAAAAAATGCTTAGTGAGGAGCGGGTGCTTGTATATTTTGGGTTTTCAGTTAGTGTTAATTATATAGGGCGTGTTGAACGCTTGAGACTTTTTTCTTTCTTAGGTAGTTTATTGGGAATGGGATGTAGTTGAAGTGTGGGTTTTGTTTTAGTATATTCTTTGATTTAGGCCCGCTCAGGTTCGGCATTTGTTCTTTATCTGCGTTTCAATGGCCTAAATCTACTCTCTAGCAACTGAACATCAACGTACTGGAAATCACATACAACACATAATGTAACGGTGGCATCTTTTGAATGAGCAACACCACTCACATTTTGTAATAAAAAAAGAAAATGTAATCTTCTTTAGAAAATGAAATAATCTAGTTTCTATTAACTCACGATACATGCATTCAGGGAAAGTCCACATGCATTTCTCTCTAAAGTTTACATCAAAGTGCTCTCATGTGTATTACACAAGGCTCATTATCCTAAGCTCCACAGGTCCGGGCAGAGAAAGAAATAGCGATGTGTCTGAGATGACTTTACAATTTTGCATAACTCTCTAGACTCACACTGCCGTTTTGTTTCACAAAAAACGCACAAACAGGAAGTTGATGTTTAACACACTAGCATTGAAATTAGAGTCTGTCTGTATAACGATATGCCATTGTTTATGTGTGTATTGTGTGTTAAATAATGATCTCAAAATGTATTAGACGTAAAAATGTTTGCTTAAAACCGTAAAAATATGTAAGTGCTACTGAAGTGGAGATTTCTGGTTCATTGAATGTCATTGCGATAAGTGTCTACGCTCAGATGTACTATCCATACAGGCAAAAAACATTGTTTTTTCATTATGATATTTTAAAGATTCCTAATTTTGTTTTGTAGGTCAAGGTCAAAAAGCGTATAATACATTTCAGCTTTTTATCACAGTGTCTAAGACCGTTCGATAAAGGACTGCACTGATTGGTCAGATGGCCGAGTCTGTTGTTTCCGCAGTTTCAATTTTGATATTTTTAAGTCAAACCATTCATGTCTGTCAGTCAAATAATGGAGGTCTACGCAATAACAAAGACACCTACGTCTTGGATGCCCTTGAGGTAAGCAAAAACATACCAAAAATTTCATTTCAAAGTGAACTATCCCTTTAAATAGGAAGTAAGACAGTGATTATTGACGACTTGTTTTAGGCTGTTCAGAATCTATTCTTTCTTTTGGGAGACAATAACGTTCCCCCCAGTTTCTCAGGCAAAGTTTAAGTTGGGTCCCAGACTCATTTTACAATGCCCCCAGAGTTAAACAGTTGAGTTTTACCGTTTTCGAAATCATTCAGCCAATTTTCTGATATTTAGAAAAATGTCAGTAACCTGGAAGTTTCTGGTCCCATTGACTTCCATAATAGAAAAAAAATATACTATAGAAGTCAATGAGACCAGAAACTGTCTGGTTACTGATATTCTTCTAAATATCAGAAAATCGGCTGAATGGATTCGAAAACGGTAAAACTCAACTGTTCAACTCTGGGGGAGTGGTAAAATGAGCCTATTTCCAAAAAAAGTGGAGTATCCCTTTAACTGAAAGCAACTTGCACTGACATATATTAAATTATGTCTGTGCCATTGTTTTGTCTTAAGATTCACACAAGTAATGTTTTTTTCTAAGGCACGTTTATAAAAGCTCAATCTAATCCTGGCTTAATCCAAGCCCTGTCTGTGAAACCGGGCCTTTATTTATTGTAAACTGTGACCTTTTACATTCACAATCTGCTATATTACACACTACTTGAACGGTATCCAGAAAAGTCATAACGACAGATTTACTCCTAAATATATTCTGAAGGACTTTCCCAAAGGGTTTGTTCATACATGCCTATCATTTGCCTGGTTTTACACAACATTTTATTCCTGAAAACATGGTGATATTTTTTCCCCCTGACTGTTGACTGGGTTTTCTGATATATGGAGTGATAAAAGAGATACCAGTGACCCCACAATACAATATTATATGATACTACTTTATTAAACCCCAAAATTAAACAGAAACTCAAACACACACAAAAAAAAAATAAGATAAAAATCACCTGAAAGCATACACTGTCAAAAAAAAAAGGTACGAAAGCTGTCACTGGGGCGGTATCTTTTCAAAAAGGTACACTTTTGTACCTAATGAGTGCATATTGGTACCATAATTGTACAAATATGTACCATGAAGGTACCAATATGCACCCTTTAGGTACAAAAGTGTACCTTTTGAAAAGGTACCGCCCCAGTGACAGCTTTTGTACCTTTTTTTCTGAGAGTGTAGCAAACCTAGATCTACACTAGTTGACAAAATGAAACACATTTTTTGAACCTGGCTTCATTCAAGGTTCAGATTTCTGTTCTGGCAAAGTATGCAAATTAGAGCGTATTTGATTATACTCCCTCGTTTGTATACTTGAAAAAACGTGTGATACAAATGTTTTTGGGGGAATTCTTATTGTAATCAATGAGGAAGTATGGTATATATTCCCCTATTCACCTGCGATGTCTGCCATAAATATAAATGCCACCTAATGTTCATTCAGACATTTTTAAAGGGATAGTTCTCCCAAAAATGACCGTTTACTCATGTTGTAACCAAACCTGTATCTGTTTCTTTCTTCTGTTGAAATATTCAGAAAAATGTTGGTATTTAAACAGTTGACGATAGCCATTGAGCCCTATTATGAAAGTCAATGCCACCGCCAACTGTTTGAATACCAACATTCTTCAAAATATCTTGTTTTGTGTTCAACAGAAGAAAGAAACTCAGAAATTATGATGACATCATTTTCATTTTTGGGTGAACTATCCCTTTGCGACTATTCTGAATCCATTATATGAAAACATAACTGTATATTTCCATTTTTCAAGGGATGGCTGGAGAATGGTGTTTGTTTGCAGCTCTGTGAGGGCAGTTATGCAAACTTCACTATGCAAATGGTTCTGTTGCTCAGAAGCACTAACATAAAAAAATTATATGGAGACAGAAAATGATCTAGAAATGGAGGAGATTACAAAAACATGTTTTTTGTCAACAGCAAGGGACAGATGCATAGACTTGCCTGATTGTATGGATAAGAAACATAATATGGGCCTTTACCTTTCATGGATGAGTCTGCAACGATCACCTGCAACGATACCACTGTGATAAAGAGAAAAACATGATGACAATCTATGATCGACAGACAAGGTTAAACTAAAAATAAAAAACAAGAAGATGAGACGGAAAACAGACCTTCAAAGCTGCATGTGGCGTCTGCTTGCTTCCTTCTCCTTGAGTGCTGGTTCTTGTCCTCAAAGATGGCGATTTTAATGATGATTGATATGAAGAAGACGATGTTACAAACACACATGCACACCTTTCGACTACCTGCTCACTCGCTCCTATTTCCATCACACCATCTCTGTGTCTGAGCTCCACCCTCTCGGCCCACTGTCACTGTCCTTGTCCAATGAACCACATACAATAGCCTATATCAGTGTGAGTGGCCAACTTTTCCCATTTAAAGAGCAAGATTAGTCCACTCCAACCACTAATAGATATTTTTTTAATTCCACTTATTATATAAGGAACATTACAATTAGTTAGTATAGCAAGCATCGATGCTATGCCATTTATTACTGTTAATCAAAATCTCTTAAAGGTATAGTTCACTTTAAAATTATATTTGGTATATCAATGTGTGCTTACATTTACGAGTCATTAAATCATGTTTAATTTGGACTTCTCTGTGCATGCTCTTTGAGGTGGTGACCATAGACCTCCATTATATGACTGACAGACAAGAACGGTTTGACCTAAAAATGTCAAAATTGAAAATACTGTGGAAACAAAGACACTTTCATCTTGGATGCCCTTGAGGCTGAAACATACCAAAAATTAATTTCAAAGTGAACTATCCCTTTAATCATGTTGTAAAGCCTGCCATATGAAATAATAGTCAGAAACCTTTAGACACAAATTTGAGTACATTATATTTGGCTTTTATGGCTTATATTTGAGGGAAAAAACTTTTATTTAGTTTTATTTAGAGACCCAAACTGAGCAAAATATGTAATATCATGACGTTGCTGATATATATATGAACAAAAAGTATGATGAAATTCTCATTACTTGTAATATCGTCAGTCGTCACTGTATCTCTAAATAATGTCTCAGTAAGATTATATTTAATGCTTAATATTATAATCAAAATATTTGATGGTTGAGTGATGAACAAATAAACGTTCCTCAAAACCCTGATGGATTTGATACTTGCGTATCAAATGTAAATATAATCAAGTAGTTCCAATATAACAATTATTCTCAATTTAAGGCCCTTTACTTGATAAAAAATAGTAAATAACTATTTTCTAATCCTAATCGTCAGTGTAATTTTAAATGAATTTATTCAGATTGGTTTCAATTTTGGATGGATGGATGAATGGATGGACAAATAAATAAATGAATGAGATGCCACCATGCTTGAGGAATGACCCATCTGGCATGTTTCGACATTGTTCACAAATGATCTAAACAACATTTACATAACTGATCTGTGGGTGGAACAGAAAGCGGTATTAATTGAGATTATTTGCAGTCTGATTCACTAATGATTCAATTAGGTTTGCTGGAGGAGCAACTTTCCTAGCAAAATTAATAATGAACAGTAGGTATCCCGAGTTCAAGCATCCACACAGAAACAAACCACAAATGTAAGTTCATGTCCTTGATATTTCACCTGAGGGACGTTTGTCACAAAGTTCGTCTTCTGTGTGTGTCTGCTTACACAAAACTGAATGACCACTTGCGTCACAATCTTAAGTGGGCATTGAGTTTCTATTTCCATAGTAACCTTTAACCTTTTGCAATTCTGAATTAATTGTAAAACATATATATTTAATGTCATAAAGTGTAGGGGCAAAACACGGCGTAATTTAACCTAGAAATCAAATATGGCTTTTTTATATTAATAATTAGACACCAATTAAAACATACATGCACTATGAATGTTTACTAAATAATAATTATATATATATATATATATATATATATATATATTAGGGCTGTGCAAAAATTAATTGCGATTAATCGCATCCAAACTAAAAGTCTGTGTTTACATAGTATATTTGTGTGTGCTGTATATAATTATTTTGTATATATAAATACACACACATGCATGTATATATTTAAGAAAATGTGTTATTCATATATAAAATATTGATATTTATATAATATAAATTCTGTATATATATATATATATATATACACAAAATCTAAGCACAAATAATTCTTAAATATATGCATGCATGCATAGGTATTTATATATACAAAACAATTATATAGAGCACACACAAATATATTATGTAAACACAGACTTTTATTTTGGATGCGATTAATTGCAATTAATTTTTGCACAGCCCTAATATATATATGTATGTATATATATATATATATATATTATTGGTCAAATATAGCATTAAATCATAAGTAATTTTTGGTCTGGTTATACTGTATGTTTACTGTAGAGTGTTTCCTGTTGGGATTTGGAAAGAAAAGAAAAGGATGATTACTCACCCATGTGGAGGAGCCATCAGGGAAGCTCACTGTATGTGGGAGGGCTGTGAGTAACTCTGCTTGTTTTTTGTTTGAGGTAAATTATATTGGCCTTGACCTCAGAGAGACAAGAGTGACTCTTTTATCAGCCTGAAAGAGCCGTGATATGTATTTACAACATGGTGGGAGGAAGCTTTCTTCAATGGGATTTCCATACACTTCATAGAATATCTCTTTCTTCCTCCTTCTGTTCAACCGTGAACAAAAGTGAGATAAAACTATATAAATATCGTTTGTTTTCTCACACAAACCGCTCGTTTCGTGTCCTAGGCCATTAATGTGTACTTACATTTACGAGTCATTAAATCATGTTTAATTTGGACTTCCCTGTGCATGCTCTTTGAGGTGGTGACCATAGACCTCCATTATATGACTGACAGACAAGAACGGTTTGACCTAAAAATATCAAAATTGAAACTAGACACCTTCATCTTGGATGCCCTTGAGGTAAGCTAAAACAAGCCAAAAATTAATTTCAAAGTGAACTATCCCTTTAAAGTAGCTGGAGCAAAATTTCTTAAGTTTTTTACTGAGACAAGCACAGGCGAGTGACTTATCTGCTCAATTTCCTACGAAAACAATGGTCTAAAATATAAACTTACCATAATGAATCATAAGACAAAAACACATCTTTGAAGAAGGATGGGAAATGTATTGACCGATTATTTCAATTGTATTATTATTTAACAAAAAAATCAATAAAAATCAATTTCTCAATAGAGAAAATAAAGGCTTTTTTATTACACGGAAACCGTTCCGTTGTAAGAAAAAAACTAAAAACACTATAAAAGTAGAGGTAAAAATAAAGGTACTGGCTGTGGTAAATGGGGTTAGCACTTGGATATTAATAGCTACACTCTTTATGTTTAATGCCATGATCACAACAACTCTTATACTCACAGTACAAAAACTCATATGCAGACTCAACACGACCTCCACAAGAATAAAGATAAGGAACAGACAAAACTCTAGCCAGTTCCCACAAAGGTTGAAGGACACACATAACCAACAGAAACACACTTTTGTCAAAATCTCTTTCTACACCAGTAACACGTTCAAAGCAAAAGCACAATTGTGCATAGTTCACATGTTGTACAAAAGAACAATAGTATGGCAAAAAAATGACTTTAATCCGGTCTGGTCGCAGTCTTTGTGCCAGTTTAAACATTACCTGACGTATAGGCCTAGCTGCGACAATACAAAGTCAGAGATGTGTCACATCACTCACCCAAACTGTCTGGAGGAATCAGTGGTGAATCAGTCTAACCCAACATTTACCTTAATACAGTACATTAAAATCCTCTCACTGTACAATCAAACTGTCTCCAGCAGAACTGGTAATGTCTGATCCAAATCCACACAGAAACAACCGGCACACCTTATCATCAGTCCAGGCTGTAACATTTATTTTAAGAACAGATTTGTCTGTGACACTAAAGTTAACTGCATTATAACAATGAACAATGCTTCTATAGCATGTATGGGCCTATTATGCCTCATTTAAATGTCGAAGCTTGTTTCCACCACTGAATACAAGAGTAAAGTGACTCTTTCCCCTACAATTGTGAGCTTTTATCTTGCAATTGTGAGAAATAAAGCCAGAACTGCAAGATATAAACTTGTAATTTTGTGAGGATGAAATCATTTTATTGTATAGCCTATTTTTTTTTATTAACCAGCTTTAACATAGATGACTAATAATAGAAACTCTGTAAATGTTACACATTGTTAGTTTATAGGCTAATGCATTCGCTGATGTTAACACAAGACTTTGTGCTCATGCAGAGTGCGCTATATTTAGATATTTGCATAGGCTAGGCTACTGATGTATTGATTTCAAAATTCTGAAAAAGTACAAAGTACGGATCTTTCAACAGTGCAAAGTTTCACTTTACTTCCTTCTACAATTTTGCCTCACATCCGTGAGCTGAAGTCACTAAAGTTACATAGAAATGTATTTCCCCATTTCTGAGGTTTCAAGAGTTGGATGGCACAGTGCTCTCATGTTTTCACTGGTTTGTTTGGTTTTGTCAGCCATACAAGGCGAGAGAGAGAGAGAGAGAGAGAGAGAGAGAGAGAGAGAGAGAGGGGGGGGGGGGGGGGGGGGGGCAGCAGCTTGACGAGCTCTGGTACTTTTCCATTGCGTAAAACCGCTCATCAATGAAGCGCGGTGAAGTTCGGGCCAGATTTGGGAATGAACTTTGGCGGGAGGGCGCCATCTTGTGAATGTGAGGGGCAGTGCCGGCTCGATACCAGACTTTTCCCATCTACATAACTCTGAAAAACGTTGATAATGTAATCGCTATGTAATCGCTTTGGACAAGCTGTGTTGGTATGAGAAAAAAAGAAATAACGAATCAACATTGTAAACACGCATAGCCTATGTAAAAACAAAAACAACAAAAAATTGTCCCAAATTACGTAATAGCTACTCTTCGGGTCACAAAGTGCTTCACAGTAAAAAAATAAATAAAAAATAAAAACCACAACGCACATAACAAACAAATATGGCTAGTTAAATGCTTGTCTCAAATGTGTCTTAAAGGAGTAGTTCACTTTTTAAAAAAACTTGTGCTGATAATTATTTACTCACCCCCATGTCATCCAAGATATCCATGTCTTTCTTTCTTCAGTCGAAAAGAAATTAAGGTTTTTGATGAAAACATTCCAGGATCCATATAATGGACTTATATAATTTTCTCCATATAATGGACTTTATTGGGCACCAAACGGTTCGTCATTTACGTCATATTTATCATATTTAATTAGATCATATTTGTTGTTTGCTGGGATGATTGTCAATAAAAAGTATAGTTTTGAAATGTATATATACACTAGCAGTCAAAAGTTTTGGATCGGTAAGATTTTTAATGTTTTTTTTTTTTTTAAAAGTTTCGGCTGCATTTATAAAAAATTTATTCCTGTGATGGTAAAGCTGAATTTTCAGCATCATTACTCCAGTCTTCAGTGTCACATGATCCTTCAGAAATCAGTAGCCTATTATATGATAATTTGCTGCTCAATAAACATTTCTAATTATTATCAATGTTGAAAACAGTCACATTTTTATTTCAGGATTTTTTGATGAATACAAAGTTAAAAAGATCAGCATTTATCTGAAATCCAGAGCTTTTGTAACATTAAACACAGTTTGGGGTCAGTAATAATTTTTTTTTTTTTTTTGGGGGGGAAATAAATAAAATAAAATCAATATCAAGGATTGATTAAATTGTTCAAAATTTACAGCACAGACGTTTATAATGTTACAAAAGATTCTATTTCAAAGATATGCTGTTCTTTTGAATTTTCCATTCATCAAAGAATCCTGAAAAAAATTGTACACAACTGTTTTCAACATTGATAATAATAATGAATGTTTTTTGAGCATCAAATCCGCATTTTAGAATGATTTCTAAAGGATCATGTAGACTGTAGTAATGATGCTGAAAAATCAGCTTTTACCATCACAGGAGTAAATTACATTTTAAAATGTACAAAAATAGAAAATAGTTATATTAAATTGTCATAATATTTAAACATATTACTGTCGTTTCTTAAAATCAAATGGTAGTGTAAATAGAGTGAGAGAGAGAGAGAAATGAGAAAAAACAGTTATATTATAATATACATTTTAAAATATAATATACATTATCAAAAACATTTTGGACATGTAGTACCATAGTCAGTACCACATATGATATTTTGAAAGGTGCAGTTATGAGTGCCTCCTAAAAAACTGAATTTGCACACACACACACACACACAAAACAATATCATATCATATACTGAAAAGTAGTTTACCATTTTTAAAGGGATACTCCACCCAAAAATGAAAATTCTGTCAACATTTACTCACCTTCAAGTTGTTGTAATCTTGTTGTTGTTGTCGTCTTCACAAAGGAAGATATGTTGAAGAATGATTGGCACCATTGACTTCCATAGTATTTTTTTATTATAGTATTCACCATTGACTTCCATAGTATTCTGTTTGGTTCCAATCGTTCCTTCAACATATCTTCCTTTGTGTTCAGCAGAATAAAGAAACTCATACAGGTTTGCAACAATTTTTGGGTGGAGTATCCCTTTAAGGGACGCGAATAAAAAGATACAAGGTGTCATGGTGTGCCATAGTGAAGTGACCATCTAAATACCATGGTAGATTCACAGTACTTTTTTTTACTCTCAGCTGTCAAATATAGCAGTAGCCTTCCGAGGGACAGCTTGATTCGTGTGGAAACATTGAAAAATATGTTCGTCACGTTGCTTGTTTGTTGTGCCAGTGGTGATCTAAACAGGTGGTTTAAAATTCAAGGTGATCGCAATGACGAGAATGACTGTCATTATGGCCACCGTACTCATGAGGAAAGCTTTGCAGAGTGACGAGCGCAGTATGGTGATCAGCAGAGACCTCTCTCTGGCCGAGGCGCGCTCCGCCTCCTCTCCTGCCGGGTTCCCGACGTCCAGGCTCTGGCCGATGGTGTGTGATTGAGCCGGGGCAGAACTGGGCACTCTCTTCACTTGCAGTTTGCCTTTGTTGCGATTAAAACGGATGCTGTAGACGTGCTGCATGGCGGTCGGGAGGTAAGACAGCACCGTGGAGTCGTTCGCAAGCTTGGGAAGACCCAGGTCTGGTAACGGGGTGTAGGCACGGCACAGCGGGCACTGGATGGTGTTGGGTTGGGCGGACTTCACGTTCATCCGCGCTAGACACTCCAGGCAGAAGGTGTGGTTGCATTCTAGTACTTTAGGGGTGTTGAAGATGTTGTTGAACTGGCAGAAACAGATGGCGCACTCCAGATCGGGCAGCTCGCCGTCATCCGCGTCTGGTTTGTAGGGGTCACGGAGGTGGTTCGGGTCAGACTCCATGACAGAGGGGGGAGGTGAGAGAGAGGGAAGTCAAAGAGCATCTTCAAGGTCCATGATGATATGTCATGTCTGGAGAAGAACAAGAAAAGTTTTGTTTCATGGATTTGTCTTGTATTTTCTAGCACCACACACAGGAACAATAAAATAACAACTCAAAACCTGGCATTATACACTATGAATATTGTTGGCTCTAATTGCTTATGTTCCTCTTTTTTTCAGTGGCTTTGGAAAAAAGCACCAGCCAAATGCATGAATGTAAAAAAAAGAAACCTGGCATTGTACAATATGAATATTGGTGGGTTTTTGACACATTATTTTCTTTTGTTGAAAGTTGCTTTGGATAAAAGCGTCTACGTCTGCTAAATAAAATAAAATAATTTATGATAAAATGTAATAATAAATATACACTCAGCTAAAGGATTATTAGGAACATCTGTTCAAGTTCTCATTAGTGCAATTATCTAATCAACCAATCACATGGCAGTTGCTTCAATGCATTTAGGGGTGTGGTCCTGGTCAGGACAATCTCCTGAACTCCAAACTGAATGTTAGAATGGGAAAGAAAGGTGATTTTAAGCATGGCTTGGTTGTTGGTGCCAGACGGGCCGGTCTGAGTATTTCACAATCTGCTCAGTTTCTGGGATTTTCACGCACAACCATTTCTAGGGTTTACAAAGAATGGTGTGAAAAGGGAAAAACATCCAGTATGCGGCAGTCCTGTGGGTGAAAATGCCTTGTTGATGCGAGAGGTCAGAGGAGAATGGGCCGACCGATTCAAGCTGATAGAAGAGCAACTTTGACTGAAATAACCACTCGTTACAACCGAGGTATTCAGCAAAGCATTTGTGAAGAAGACACAACACACACAACCTTGAGGCGGATGGGCTACAACAGCAGAAGACCCCACCGGGTACCACTCATCTCCACTACAAATAGGAAAAAGAGGCTACAATTTATAAGAGCTCACCAAAATTGGACAGTTGTTGCCTGGTCTGATGAGTCTCGATTTCTGTTGAGACATTCAGATGGTAGAGTCAGAATTTGGCGTAAACAGAACGAGAACATGGAACCAAGCTGCAGATTTGTTCCCGTTCCCTATCTACAACTTTTGCAGAGAATGTAGTATGATTTGTAAACAGACTTGTTTGTTGTTCTACCCAAGCTGACCTGTTCTCAATAACAGATTTGCCTTGGAAATTATTATACGTCTCCATCAAAGAACAGCTCAAAATATGCAAAGCAGCAGAAGGGTGTCCCATTACTGACGCCCATAATGCAGGCAGAACGGATTGGGTTACTTCATTAGAGGTCCACTTAGCCTCAGCTGATCATAGTTTACATTTATGATGCCAGTATATTCAAATATGATGCATTTAAATGTAGCTGAATGTTTCAGCATTTACCTACAATTTGTTATTCTACAGACATACACTCACCTAAAGGATTATTAGAACACCATACTAATACTGTGTTTGACCCCCTTTCGCCTTCAGAACTGCCTTAATTCTATGTGGCATTGATTCAACAAGGTGCTGAAAGCATTCTTTACAAATGTTGTCCCATATTGATAGGATAGCATCTTGCAGTGGTTGGAGATTTGTGGGATGCACATCCAGGGCACGAAGCTCCTGTTCCACCACATCCCAAAGATGCTCTATTGGGTTGAGATCTGTGACTGTGGGGCCATTTTAGTACAGTCATTGTCATGTTCAAGAAACCAATTTGAAATGATTCGAGCTTTGTGACATGGTGCATTATCCTGCTGGAAGTAGCCATCAGAGGATGGGGACATGGTGGCCATAAAGGGATGGACATGGTCAGAAACAATGCTCAGGTAGGCCGTGGCATTTAAACGATGCCCAATTGGCACTAAGGGGCCTAAAGTGTGCCAAGAAAACATCCCCGACACCATTACACCACCACCAGCCTGCACAGTGGTAACAAGGCATGATGGATCCATCTTCTCATTCTGTTTATGCCAAATTCTGAATCTACTATCTGAATGTCTCAACAGGAATCGAGACTCATCAGACCAGCCAACATTTTGTCCAATTTTGGTGAGCTCTTGCAAATTGTAGCATCTTTTTCCTATTTGTAGTGGAGATGAGTGGTACCCGGTGGGGTCTTCTGCTGTTGTAGCCCATTCGCCTCAAGGTTGTGTGAGTTGTGGCTTCACAAATGCTTTGCTGCATACCTCGGTTGTAACGAGTGGTTATTTCAGTCAAAGTTGCTCTTCTATCAGCTTGAATCAGTCGGCCCATTCTCCTCTGACCTCTCGCATCAACAAGGCATTTTGGCCCACAGGACTGCCGCATACTGGATGTTTTTCCCCTTTCACACCATTCTTTGTAAACCCTAGAAATGGTTGTGCGTGAAAATCCCAGTAACTGAGCAGATTGTGAAATACTCAGACCATGCCACGCTCAAAATTGCTTAAATCACCTTTCTTTTCCCATTTTGACATTCAGTTTGGAGCACATGCTCAAACAGACAAGACAAATAGACTAACGCCTGGTTTCATAAAGGATTAGGCCTTAGTTCAATTAGTGCACTTAAGAACCTTTTATAAACAGGCCTTACAAAAACATTACTGGTGTTATTTGATGCTTGAGCCAAAACAATGGCACTGACACATTTCATTTAGTCTGGGACTAGGCTTAAGCCTTATCTACAGTTTCCATTCTCTACATCTTCAATCATCAAATTCTGAATATCTGATTTCAGACTATGACTGAAGGCATGATATGCATAACACATTTGTAAAGTTTGATGGCATATCCTCATCTAACCGCATTTCAATGGTTGATTAATAAACTACGGGCTTCGAGACATATTTTGCATGACTATTGCAAGTAGAACATTAGAGCCACTCTAACGTGTTAATATCACCAGTTCTACTTGGTATAAAGACAGTAGACATAAAAAAAATGCAATGTAACACTTAATTTTGATGGTCCTTTCAAACATATTGACTAAAAGTAACTGTGCAACAACATGTCAACGGACTCTCATTTAAGTATTAGTAGGCTGTCTGCTTAATACCTGAATGTCACTTTATTGTGATGGTCCTCACTTTGCAAGTACATGTCAACTTATCAGTCTACTAATACTCTACTAACACAGAGTTAGTTCACCTGCAGGTGCAACATTACTTATAGGCGATAGAAGAGCAAAATAAAGTGAAACTAAATAATCAAATATATTAGATTCACAACTACTCACTTATCTTCTGGAAAGATGTCTCTCTTTTTTGTTGTCCTGGATGTCGAGGCTTAAGTTTGCGTCTTTGTTGTCTTTTAGAGAGAATGAGATGTGTCGGCGTCTCTCTTTCTCTCTTTGGACAACTACCACAGTTCTCCTGACATGTTTTACATAGAAAAACAAAAAACAAAACACCAAGACTCACTCTACCACTTTCTGTCTTTTTACTCAGCTCTCTTTCTTAGTCTCTCTCTTCCACTGTGCTATAAAGAATGGCAGCATTTGAATACTGGAGCAGCAGGAGGAGGAAACACACAGTCCGTAGTCAAATACAGCCGGCAGGTAGATCAGCAGAGTAAACTACAACCATGAGCTGAAAGACAGAGAAACAAAGAGGGAATGGAGAATACATACCTGATCTGAAGAACGAAGTTCCATCTTTACTTCACTGAAGAGGAAAATAGATCACTTTTAAAAAAACTTTTGCTGATAATTTACTCACCCCCATGTCATCCAAGATGTCCATGTCTTTCTTTCTTCAGTCGAAAAGAAATTAAGGTTTTTGATTGAAACATTCCAGGATTTTTCTCCATATAATGGACTTCAATGGGAACCAAACGGTTCAAGGTCCAAAAGACAGTTTCAGTGCAAACTGTTCAAAGGGCTTTAAACGATTTCAGATGATGAATAAGGGTCTGATCAAGCGAAACGATCGCTGATTTAATAAATAAATAACAAAATTTAAGGTTTATAAGCTCAAATGGTCGCCTTGCTCTGTTCTCTGTGACTCCCCTGTTCATCAAAATGAACGAATCTCTTCCAGAGTCGACTCGTTCATTTCGTTTGTTGAATGAACCAAATGACACAAAAAAAGATTAGTTCATTTTGATAAACGAGTTCGAACAGGAGAGTCACGAACGCGCATCACAGAACAGAGCAAGGCGAGCATTTGAGCTTATAAAACTTAAAAAGATTTTTTTTTTTAATAAGCGATCGTTTCGCTTGATAAGACCCTTATTCATCGTCTGACCCTTCAATCGTTTAAAGCTCTTTAAACAGTTTGCACTGAAACTGTCTTTTGGACCTTGAACTGTTTGGTTCCCATTGAAGTCCATTATATGGAGAAAAACTTTTCTGGATTTGGGGTTTGTATATAACTGACTAATTGTGATCACATAAAATATATTATGAGCTGTTTATAAATATCATGGTAATATCTTTTGATATGGTTTTGTAAATGTAAACATGTACGTATTGAATATTTTATCAACAGCAAAGATCAACACGTATTATTCCACGGATGTTTCCATGTACTGTTGTGTGTATGCAAACAAAGAGCCAAAAAAAGGACTCTTCTCATTGAACTGAAATAATTTATCATATAACGTGCAAATACATTAACATTTCCTTCAAATTGATATCTCGACACCACAGAATTTACATAATAGTCAAATAAACACATCAGTGTAACCTTCACATCCTTCTGTATCATTAAAACAACATGACACAGTATGGACTGTCCTTTCCGCTGTTTGTTCATCAATATAGGCTGCTGCTAATGTTATAGTGGTTGGAAAAAGTATTTGGACACTTTAAAATGCATGAATGTCTTGAAATGTCATTAGAAAATTGTGATGAACTACAACCTGTTACGTTACACTACATCAAATAAAATAAAAAAAAGCTAAAAAAGCCTCAGAAATGCCAACCCGATCTCACAACAATTTCGTACGAATTTTACGAGGTGGCTAATTCATACGACTTCACTCGTACGAATAAGTACGTTTTTTGCTTAATCGTACATATTTTACGAGTTTCCCAATTCGTATGAATTCGTATGAATGACACACCCCTGACACCGCCCCTAAACCTACCCATCACGTGGGTTTAGATCAATCGTACAAATTCGTTCGAGTGAGGTTGTACGAATTAGCCACCTTTTAATTACTCGTACAAATTAGTCGTGGGATAGCGTTTGTTTAGAGAAAAGCTCAACTCTTAAAAATAAAGGGTCAAAAGGGGAGTTTCACAGCAATGCCATAGAAGAACCATTCTGGGTTCGTCAAAGAAAAATAAAAGTAAAATTGAATTCATTTTTTAAGCGAACATCTTTTAAGTAAATTTCACATATGGAATTAGGAAATATCTACTGTACTTAACTAAGTTAAGTAAATCAACAAAGAAATTAAGTTACTTTAACTTGGTCAGTTCCATTTTGTTTCGAGTAATTTCTACTTTGTTGAAGTTTAGTAGATTTTATTCAAACATTATCACACTGACATGCTTTTAAAGTGTATGTTTAAGTAAGCAATACAGTAGATATAACAACATATCTACATAATGGAAGTAATGCGGTACCCACCCGAACACAGGGATCGCAATACTTAGTGCACAATACACTATTCACCGGATAATTTATAAATATGAATGTGCGATTGAGTAGAAAAAGAATTTCAGATATCACAAATCAAAAGCAGCGATAAAACAGTGTAAATACAGCTGGAAAACAGAGAAAACTGCAACATTTTTATTCATGCCAGAGTTGAGTAAGTTTCACTTAGTTTTATAATTTAATATAAGCTTAAATTGAGTACTAATATAGAATTCACTTTTTGTTTGGTAAATTCTTGCCTGACCAAACTTATTCACACATATTAACTTATAGCATTTGTTTCACCACAGAATAATTTTTATTATTATTATTATTTTTTACAAAAAAAAGAAAAATCAGATTTTTTTTTTTTGTGTGCAATTTTCAAAGGTTGTTTCAAAGGGAAACCATATGCCAATAAAGACCCTTCATTTTTAAGAGTGTAGCAACATTTATTTGATATCTTGCATCTAAGGCAATGACATTCAGGCAGTTTTAAGTGTGATTTAAGTGTAAAAAAATACTTTGGGACCACAGTGCATTATGTAGAAATAAAAGAATACATAAAACAAAAACTCTTTGGTTGAAAAATTCAAAACAAGGACATTTGTAAATCCATAAGGAATCAACACTGCCAGTGTTGGCAAGATTGTAAGAAGCTGCAATATTCTTTTTATTAGAGAACTATAGTAATATTAAAGGAAAAATATTAAAAAAACAACAACACCAAGAAAAAAAAAAACACATTGCATCACTGATTTTCATTGACTTCACATTCTCCATTGTCTGGCCACTTGTCTCTGGAAGAGTATTGAGATTTTTTGTATTTAATTCTATCTCATAACCGGCTTCAGGAAATGCAAGATCTGAAAGTTTACATAAATGTTTCAATGTGAACTAGCAGCTTCTCTGTGAAAAATGATTCAGTTTCTGGCTCATGCCAAACCCTGAGTCTGTGTATATGTAACTGAATATGTGTGTATGAGACAGAGAGAGAGAGAGCCTGAGATTTTATATCCTTGAAATATGAAAATATTTCTTAAATATATACAAGCATGTGTGTATTTATAAATATATATAAAATAATTATACACAGTGCACCCACATATATTATTTAAACACAAACTTTTATTTTGGATGCGATTAATCCAGGTCTAAAGTAAATTGTAGGAAGTATGCTTTTTGCAAGTATTGTATTGCAACAGTAGTCAAAGTAACATAGATTTCCTAAAATAATACTTTATCATATAATGAAGTACAATTACTCAAGTACTTTACACCCCTGGACTCAATTAACATATTCAAGCATATTCAGCAACCAAGCAGAAGTGGAGTGGCATTTTATTGCCTATATTTGTTTCCACAATAACTAACACACACACACACACACACACACACACACAACAAAACAGCACCTATCTTATTTCATGGTTGTATTTGGAAATGGAAAACAATTCCCATTCGGTAAATCATCCCTGCCGGTAGGGAGTTTTACAGCGACCCAGTCTCTTTCCTTTAGGGAAGTTGAATACGTTTTTACATCCTTTAACGGTGCATGTAGTCAAGTGGTCATACACTACATGGTCAAAAACATGCGGACAATATTGGAACATGGATTTGCTCCCATTTAGACACGAGCAGATTGCATGCTTGATTTTATGCTCCTGTTAGTAACAGATGTAGTAGATGTAGTCCACGTACTTTTGTCAGCGTAGTGTGCATTTTGATTTCCAGGAGTTCCAGTTATTAAAGTCGTTGGTTTTATCTTCCAGGTGGTCCAGATGGAAGTCAGAAGCGAGCCACTTCAGCGAGGCTGGGCAGTGTTGCCTGATCCAGATGCAGATGGTGCAGTCCTGTGTTAAAACTGGCACACAGGAGACTGCTGGAGTCACACGGAGCCAGAGACACCAACGGCCCTGAACCGTCCAGCGTTAATGTGTACAAACACGCTGAAGAGAGAATATGGAGGGGACAAGAATCAAACCATGTGGATCGGACGTTTTTAGGAAAAAGCATGACATGCACTAAATGTAATGTGTTTACTGTTGCCTTTGACAGTAGCTATCTTTCCAACCACCTATTTGCACATTTGGGATATCAAAAAATACATAAAAAATGCTGGATGGCAACGCCAAGGTGCGCATAAACTGTATGCACAAGTGAGACAGATAAATGTTTTAACTAAAAATAAACTATGATGGAATTTGGGAACACATTTACTGAATGAATCCTTCGAAAGCTCAACAGCGGACTAACCAGTGGACCAATTAGACTGCACAGCATGTCAAACGTTGGTTTGGTCATTCTGAAATCCCTTGAGCCAAAGTCTGTCATCAAAATGATTTTTTTTAATCTCCTCCCAGAAGCGGCTTGCTGTGAGACGCAAAAAATGAGCCACCGTGGTTTCCCAGATTGCAGCAACTGAAAAATATCCATTTTATTACAGATATTTTGCAGCAGTTTCCCTTAAAGTGACAGGGTTTTTTTTTTTTTGTCTCTTGAACACATGGGATGGAAACGCTGCTTTATTCGCGAATGATTTATATGTTATTCCAATCCAGCTATTGATTGAAAAACATAGCTAGTGTTGTTTAAAAAAATAAAAGTTCAAAAAAGCATTTATTTGAAATATATACATATTTGAAATATCTTTCCTGTAACTTGTGATCAATTTAATGCATCCTTTCTGAATAAAAGTGTGAATTTCTTCAAATAAACAACAACATCATAATAATCCTTACCTAAAACCCAAACCTTATTGTAATTAAATACATTTAATTATTCTAAGACTTAATACCTAGAAAGGACTGTATTGCCAAGTATGTTTGTTTTGGTGAATAACCTTCCTGTGTACACAGAGACAATAACGGTACACAAATAGTAAAATACAAAAATAATGATATATGTGAATTAGATAAACGAATGTGTATAAATGTGTGTGTGTATATACACATATATATATATATATATATATATATATATATTAGGGCTGTCAAAAGATTAATCGCGATTAATCATATCCAAAATAAAAGTTTGTGTTTACATAATATATTTTGGTGCACTGTGTATAATTATTTTATATATATATAAATACACACACATGTATATACACTGTATATAGATTTATATATAATTTATATTATATATAAATATTTTATATATAAATAATATTTTTTCTTAAATATACAAGCATGTGTGTGTATTTATATTTATACAAAATAATTATACACAGTGCACCCACATATATTATGTAAACACAAACTTTTATTTTGGATGCAATTAATCACGATTAATCGTTTGACAGCCCTAATAAATATATTAATATAAATTAATAATATAAATAATATAAATAAATAATAAAAATAAATAATATATTAGGCTCTAAGTGCCATTTGAAATTTTCTTCTATAATGATAATTTTTATCAAGCTTGTATATTTAAGTTCAGTGATTTCACTTAAATGGCAATGATAATTACCTATTAATTGTTATTTAAGTGAAATTACTGAACTTAAATATACAAGTTTGATAAAAATCATCATTAAAGAAGAAAATGTCAAATGGCATTTAGAGGCTTTTGCATCTGAACTCTTCATATATATATATATATATATATATATATATATATATATATATATATGTACAAAAAATACAAATTTATTTGTACATGACGTGTACATATACAAATAGAATAGAATTACCAGGGAACATCAATGCATTATGTAAAACTAAATCATTTTTATTATTATTTTAAATATTTACATGCACTGAAATATATGCCAGCCAAAGCTGATATGTTTCCCCAGCTGAGTTTGTTTCCTCTTACAGTTTCTTTTTCATCTACCTAAACATCTTACACAGTTTTTTGACCAGGAAGCGCTGTCTTCTTAACCAACTGGCTAATCCTCTTTGTGTGTTTAAAAAACAGAATAGGGCGTGTGTGTTACCTGCAGTGTTCTGGTCCCATATTTTGACTGAGCTGTCATACGACGAGGACGCCACGAGGGCAGGGCACCCGGGACGGGGAGGCACAAACACGCAGCACGCTGTGGTCTGCAGGTGTCCTCTGTATTCAGCCACCTTACAGCCGGGCTGTCTGAGGTCCCACAGCTACACACACACGTAAACAAACACACAAACAGGTAAACTTATGCACATCCACAGCTGTGCCCTGGCAGTATCCACACACACACACACTCACCGTGGCCTCGCAACCCTGCCCACCGAAACCGTTGCTGGACGACAGCAGGTGGTAACAGTTGGAGCTGATGTCACAGTGTGTCTGAATGTACTGCTTTGCCGGAAACGTGTTAGTCACCTGCCAGGTACGACTATCCCACACCCTAAGACGGACAACAAACATAGCATATATTTTCACACACACATTTTATCAAAGAAGCTCTACACCGAAATCACGATAGCAGATTAGAGCTGTGCAACAATATATGGTTACGCTTTATTTCGATAGTCCACTTTAGACATTCTACGACTAACTATAAGTAACTTTGCAACTTCATGTCAACCAACTCATTAGAGTGTAAGTAGACTTTTAGGAGGTTAGATTTAGGATTAGAAGGATAAGTTGACAAGTAGTTGCAAAGTTATTTATAGATAGATAGAAAGCAGACAGTCTACTAAAACTAATGAGAGTCGGTTGATATGTAGTTATGTAGAAAATATTGTTGGTTTAACTTAAAAAATGAAGTAACCTGGTTGCCTTAAAAGTTTAAGTTCATTGAAATTGAAAATTTTAGTTAATGCAATGAAGGAGATTGATAATCAGAAACTCAAAATATTATGTTATCTGAACCACATAAATTATCTCAGTTGATTTGACAGAAGAAAAAACATTATGATAAATCATGATATTTTTTTTTACAGTGTTCTTATAGTTAGTAAGTGGTCCATTGAAATAATGTTACCCAAATTAATTTACATTTTGTGATGATACAAGAAATCAAGCTGTTGAGATTTGCTATATAGTTATCACTTTAGATGAGCATAATGAAAATTGTTTTACAAAAGTTGATATTTAATGGACATTTGTAGGGCTGTCAAATGATTAATCGCATTCAAAATAAAAGTTTGTGTTAACATAATATAAGTGTGTGTAGTGTGTATAATTATTTTGTATATATAAATACGCACACATGCATGTACAAATATTTAAGAAATATTTGCATGTATGTACTTTATACATATTTATACAAAATTAATATTATACATAAATATTTGATATATTAATAACACATTTTTCTTAAATATATACATGCGTGTGTGTGTAATTATCCACACCACACACACATATATTATGTAAACACAAACTTTTTTAGATTTTAGATGCGATTAATCGCGATTAATCGTTTCACAGCCTTAGACATCTGTATTTTACTAATTTACAAAGATTAAAAATACTGTCTCTAATGAATTGCTCATTTGTTAGTTAATGCATTACCTAAAGCTATCTAATGGAACCTTATTGTAAATGAACAGATTTATTTTGTAATGAACACTTACATTTTAATACTTACATTAACTAAAGATCAAAAAGTAGTTCATTATTAGTTCATTTTATGTTTGCCGAGAGTTTGCATTTTATATTTTTTCTTGCTATTGGGGATAAGTAGGACCTAATAAGTATAATAACTAAAATTTGTTTTTGTACAGGAAGTAGTTTTTGCATAAAATGATGTCCTCATGCGAGGACAGTGGGTCTATCTTAAGGAAACGTTTTGTAAAGGGTTATTGATATACTACACATCCAGCTTTATATTTAGAGCTTTGTGATATAGTTTACATTTTGTGATGATATAAAAGAGTCGCGCAGCATGTTATTTGTTTAGTAAATATTTCAGAGAAACACATCTCTGCAAACAATGACTGTGAACCACTGGAATGGATCATATGGCATATCATGATCTTCTGACCTGATAGTTTTGTCTTCTGAGGTTTGGACAATAGATGTGCTTCCTGGTACCCAGCACACATGCGTCACCTGAACAGAGGGCAACAGGACAACACACATTCATATTCAGTGGATAACAATTATTAGACAAATAATTGTTGCTAATACCAAAATGTAATTTTAGAGCTAGTAACAGAGTATTGAGCCATTGATATGCAGTCTAATGCGGTTATTGGAGAGTTTGATAAAGATGAATTTTGGTGAGCTCTTGCAAATTGTAGTCTCTTTTTCCTATTTGTAGAGGAGATGAGTGGTACCCGGTGGGGTCTTCTGCTGTTGTAGCCCATCCGCCTCAAGGTTGTGCGTGTTGTGGCTTCACAAATGCTTCGCTGCATACCTCGGTTGTAACGAGTGGTTATTTCAGTCAAAGTTGCTCTTCTATCAGCTTGAATCAGTCGGCCCATTCTCCTCTGACCTCTAGCATCAACAAGGCATTTTCGCCCACAGGACTGCCGCATACTGGATGTTTTTCCCTTTTCACACCATTCTTTGTAAACCCTAGAAATGGTTGTGCGTGAAAATCCCAGTAACTGAGCAGATTGTGAAATACTCTGGCACCAACAACCATGCCACGCTCAAAATTGCTTAAATCACCTTTCTTTCCCATTCTGACATTCAGTTTGGAGTTCAGGAGATTGTCTTGACCAGGACCACTAAATGCATTGAAGCAACTGCCATGTGATTGGTTGATTAGATAATTGCATTAATGAGAAATTCAACGGGTGTTCCTAATAATCCTTAGGTGAGTGTATAACTAAGAATGATTAGAAAATAAATATTAGTCAAATTTTGAAGACTGCCTTTTCTAACCAGGTTGCGTGAGATGGTGTTTCTTTGCAGACATTTTCCCGACTCAACGTCCCAGAGGCACATGGAGTTATCCCGAGAGCCTGTGCACAGCTTTGTGCCATCTACAAGACAAAAAAAAATAAATACCAACACATTACAGGATTGTGTTTAATTTGTGGACGCAGCATGTTAACATTTGAGCATTTGTTCACCTGGGCAGACCGCTACACCGTTAACTACGAGTTCATGGCCACAAAACTCCTGGATGGGTTCTGTATCTCGACCCAAATCCCACATCAGCACCATCTTATCCCGGGACGCACTGAAGATTAAGGAACTTCCTTTGAGACAGCACAGCTAAAGGAAAACAGAGAGATTTATACTGTAAATATATATAAAAAAACACACTTATTCATTGCTTCATCTCTATGTGCAAAATATATAATAAAGGTACACTATGTAACTTTTTTTGTTCAAAATTTTAAGTATACATTATGAATTATGAGTCAATACATCATCAATCCTTCCAAAACATGTTTTTGTCTTACCATTATTCACTTTGGTAAGCCAATTATAAGTGTTTATTTTAGACCTGTCAGATGGTTTTTGTGGGAAATTGC